ATATATTCATGATCAAAGTTATACATTAACAACCATATTAGTTAAAGTGATACAATATTTTTTTTAAAAACAAATGAAGGTACTGCCTATATTTATATCATACGAAGTATTATATTATCAGTTGTATTACTCATACGGAGTAGTAAATAACGATAGATCTTGCACATAGCTACTACATATAATTATACAAACGAAGCATAAAAAACAATTTCTTGTGCATGTATGAGTTAAATTTTTTACTTCATACTTGTATTAGCTTAAACATAATCAACTATCTTCCCAGAAAAGAATAAATTAATAAGAGAATGAATTCAATTGTTTATAAGTTTATCCATGAAGTCATCATTCTACTTAATCTTTTAATTAGTGAAGTAATATTCACTTAAAGTGCATTTTATTTAATTATTTTATCTCTCAATAAAAATAAGGGTTAGGTTGTAATACAATCATAAGCATGATCTAAGTGAGGAATAATCCAAGAATATATAAGTAATTAAGTACATCAAATATATAAAGTATTGCACTAGTTGTACATTGTTTATATTTCACTTTCGACGTAGATTGTTATAAAATTCAAGGTACATAACTACTTATACTAATACTATCACAAATATTCCAAGTCAAGGTCTATCAGACTATCACTATATAATTATTGTGAGTAGGAAATTTCGTAATCATATCAACATAATTTCTTCAAAGACCAACAAAGTGATCGTTTTCAATTTAATATGATTTGTGCAATTTTGGAATGAGTTTGAGATTAATTCGATTGTTCGTTATCTAATTGGCGCCTTAGCCTTTCTAAAAGTCTTTGAAAGACGATTGTACGTTAATGTACAAGACTAAGCTACAAAACAGACAAGTAACCTAAATAGACACCTTGACACCTTGTAGTAGTGTAGTATAAAGGAATGGATTAAAGAGGATAACCACTATACATTTTTCTAGAAGACTAGTAAACGTTCTTTGGAGTTATACTTCAGAAAAAAGTTGACATAGTCATATAGGTGAAATCCATTATGTGAAAGCCTGAAAGGTATGTTAGAGAAATTAAAGGACTTTCTCTCAATCTCAATGCAAAAGTGCCGAACAAAAGCATTAATATTTTTGAAATTATGGCCTGGCATCACGGCATGGCATACTCATATAGTCATAAACTCATAATGCAATCATGTAGTATTAATTGGTTGTTAGTGCAGTAGTGACTAGGGCTGTATTTAATAGGGAAAACTACGTGTTTGATCCCCCACTTCATTAATTGGGAGAGGATTGAAGCTTAATCATTGAGCCCCGAATTCGGATTAACCCAAAGAATGAACCAGGTGAAACACCCAAAAAAATGCAATTATGTAGTGGTACTCTATTTGCCTAGTAACTATACGCATAAAATTTTATTTTAGTGCAAAAATAGGTATATGACTATATGAGTGTAAGATTCAACTAAAGAATAAAAATAGTAAATAATAAATGGTTACTGAACAAGTGAATTAAGACACCTTAAATTAAAAATTTCCTAATTTTTGCTCTTTAAGTTATTAAGACAAATTTTATATCAAGCCTCAGCCTCATAAATAATCTCCAATAAATTGTGACAGATACAAGTACTCCATAACCATTTTTGTACTTTGATTTTTCAATGTCAACGTCGATATTTTCTGCATCATAAATGGGGTGCTTTTAAAGCTTTGTTTCCTACCTATATTAGTCTATTTTATAGCCAAATAGCAAAAATTCTACACGTTTCTTAGTTAGTTTCACACTTCCACCGGCCTATTTACTTGAATTAATTCTATTTTTAATGTGCCATTTTTTCATCCTGTATTCCGGTGTAAAATTAATCTCTTAAATTAAAAAAAAAATGATAAAAAAAGACGTACAACGTGATTTAGCTTAACTAGATGCCTAGAACATATCTGTGCCATTCGATATATTAATATTATATTGTTATATTTTCACCAATATATATATATATATATATATATATATATATAGGGGAAGGATCCGGTGAGGATAGGTTTATATGTGAGAATTCATACTTATATGAGAACTGATTTTAAATTTAGAACATGTGAGTAAAAGTTTAGAACACACGAGTAAAAATTTAGAACATGCGTCTGAAATTAAAATTTAGAACATCTGAGTAATAATTTAGAACATCTAAGTGAGTAACATGTTTAGAACATTTGATTTAAGAATTAGAACAAGTGATTAAAAATTTATAAAATCTGCTTTATGAAATTTTAAACATATGAGTAAAATTTAGAACATTTGATTTAAGATTATGAACATGTGAATAAAAATTTAGAACAAACAAATATAGAATATAGAAAGTGTGAGTAAAAAATTTAGAGCATATGAGTAAAAATATAGAACATTCGCTTTAAAATCGGGAACATATAATTAAAAATCTTAGAACACACATTTTAAAATTTAGAACATATAAGTTAAAATTTTGGAACAAGTTATTTAAAATTTATGATATTAAACTTAACTAATTTATGGTTTAGAACATGTGAATACTAAATTAGAACATTTGATTTAATTTAGAACACCTAAGGAAAAGTTTAGAACATCAGATTTAAAATTTAGAACATACAAGTAAAAATTTAGAACATAAAGAGTGTTCTCACATAAGAAAAATTCTCACGAGAGCCTCCCCCTATATATATATATATATATATATATATATACATATATATATATACATATACATATATAAAACTTTTAGGCAGGCCATGAGACAACGACACTTGGCATTCTAACTTTTCGCCAAGTGTCGTGCCACGTTGGATAGATTTAAAAAAAATTCAGAAGATAAAAAAAATAGTTTAGAGTTCTATTTGGATAGAATTTTAGGATAATTTTGTTAGTTTAGAGTTTTATTTTTGATAAAATACCAATTTTTTAGATGTACAAATTGAATTATAATTTTATTCAAAAAAAATTTATTAGATTATAATTCTAAAAAATTATCATATAAAGTTTATATCATAATATTTTTTGGAACGAAAGAAGTAATTCAAAGAGTAAAACATACATTTATAATATATACTAATCGGTTAAAATAATATACTTCACAATCTAATAGAATTTTATAACTATGTAGACCTATCAATTAGGGTCGGGTCATGAGAAATCTCGAATTGGGTTACTTCAGGTTACGAGTCAAGAACTGTTCAACCCTTGCCCGAAGTTATGGGTTCGGGTCAACTCAACGGGATTAGAACATTTATTTAATTTAATTTATTTTTCCTATTTTTAATTTTTTTAATGTATTAAATCGAACATTTCTATTAACATTATTATTAGGCATTACATGTCCACTAATAGTCACAAAAGCACATTAATTCCTAACTAATTTTATATCAATGATATATTTTAAAATTTGATATATATAGAATAAAAATTTATCTTAAAATTCAATAAACAACCCGGGCATCGCACGGGGCACAAAACTAGTTTTATATATATAATATAAAACTATATATATATATCATTACCATCATTATATATATATATATATATATATATATATATATATATATATAATATAATATAATATAATATAAAGCTAAACTTTTAGCCAGGTCACGAGGCAGCGACACTTGGCATTCTAACTTTTCGCCAAGTGTCGCGCCACGTTGGATAGATTTAAATATACCTCATAAGATAAAAAAAGTTAGTTTAGAATTCTATTATGAATCAAATTTGGATAGAATTTTAGGATAATATAAAATTGTTAATTTAGAGTTTTATTTTCAATAAAATAAAATTTGAGTGTCGCGCCACGTTGTATAGATTTAAATCGACTTCATAAACAACCCGGGCATCGCACGGGCACAAAACTAGTATTATTAGATTTTATTTTTTAAATTACTATGGTTAGAGATGAGCAACATAACATGCTGGGCCACCACAGGTCGTGCCTCGCTGTGTCTAGCGGTGGCTTGTGTCGTGTCCTGCCATGCCTACATTTTGGCTTGTCGTGCCACCATTTAGCACACCCCATCCCATGGTACGGCATGACCCACGTGTCTGGCGTGTCGTGCCATACCGAGCACTGGGCCGCCTATATTTTTTTAAAATTTTTTGAAGAACTTTCAAAATAGATTTACTATTTAAATAATTTTATTAATTTTATATTTATGATTTTTTTATTATATTAATATTGTTCTATTTATTGTTATTTTTTTAACTATTATAGGTCTTAATTATTATTTATGTTATTTTATGGTCGTGTTGTCAGGCCAAACTACCATGTCTCCCACGGGTTCTTGCTGTGCTCGTGCCGGATTTTTGAAATCGTGTTTACGACACGGCCCACGGCCTACTCCTAGGTCACTGTGTCGTGCCTAAATAAGTGACATTACGTTTGACTTTTTTTTTTGTTCATATACAACTTTTGGCATGAAATATATTGTTAAATAGGTATTACTATAGAGTTTTATAACATCGACATTTTTTAAATATTTTTTTACTAATATTTAATCATATATATCTAAGGTCAAACTAGTGCATAGACATGTATGTCATGTTTGACTATATCAATTATTTGGGAATAGATATTTGGGAATAGAGTGAGTAATTCGCAAAAACTAGAAAATTATTGTTCACAAAAAAAATTTAATTTTTTTTTTTTTTTTACTCCCTCCATTACATTTTTACATTTACAATCTTCAATGTATATCTTTGACTACAAATAAATACAATTATATTTGATTAAATAGTACTCCCTCCGTTATAAAACAATGATCTTCTCACTTTAACTATACACGTTTAAAACACACATTACTTTGACCATAAATATATTTAATTACATATTAGTAAAATATATAACAATTAAATATTAATAAACTATTTTAAGACGAATCAAAACAAGACCCAACATGCCTGGCGATGTTTTATACTACCCCCGTTGTTACAGGTTATGTGCAATGATTAAACCTTTTCCCTCTCTGCTTCATGTCAAATTATTGCACATAACCTGTAACGAGGGTAGTATTTTAATTTTCTGATTTGGAATCTTAAAGAGTTAAAACCATTCATACTTGTGTTGAGTGTTTAGATCTGTCTAGGGTTGATTGTAGTGCCACAAAAATTGTTTTTATTATCTAATGAAATCATTCCTTTCAAAAAAAAAAATTAAAAAAATAATGGTGGCAGTATCATTTCTCATACTTTTTTTGATGTTTAGAGAGTTACAAGTCGGGCAGTGGCAGATGATCCGGGAAGCCATACAAAAAAAAAAAAAGAAGGCCAAGTGTTAGACAAACCCAGCAAAAAGAAACATATGTAACAGTGTACCCTACTTTATTAGGCTTCCAATATTTCAATTTTTTTTATTTTTAAACTTTTCAATAATTCTACTGGACCCACCTTGCTTCCTTTTACATTCTTTTATTTTTATATGAACCTTACGATGTAGCAAAATTTTACGGGTTTAATTTTTGTTTTGTATTTCATTCTTTTGAGTAAAGCACAAATTTGGGTACTCAATTCTACAATTTTTCAACGTTTAGGTGCTCATTTTTTTTTACCGTTTGGGTACTGAGTACCATTTTCCGGCCAAAAAAATTAATTCCCCCTAAGAATTATGTACCTTTGGTTAACAATTCAATACCTTGGGTTAACTGAAAGTGAGGCCCACCCGAATAAAAAAATGAGCGGGTCAGAATTTTTTTCCCCCTTTCGTATTCTCTTCTTCCCTTTATTCTTTCCTCTTCTGGAAAATTGATGTGCATTTGGTGAAGAACACGAGCAAGCTTGGGGCAAATCTGGGGAAAACGACACTTAGCGCAACCATTTTTTTGCGGTAACCTTCATTACTCATTTTTGTTCTTAATTTGATATAAATTTCGAATTTTTTGCCCAATTGATGATCTTATTTTATGAGTTAGGGTTTACGGTTTTGTGGGTTTTTTGAACGAAATTGATGATGTCGATTTGTTGTGTTTTTTCGGCTAAATTTGTTGCTGTGTTGTTGTTTGTTGATGGATTATGCTAGTGTTGTTGGTTGATGTTGATTGCATGTATAATTTGCGCAAGGGTTTGATTAATGTATGTGTTTTGCGAAGTAAACAGGGGAAGTTTTGGTAAAAATGTGTACGTGTGATTGATGGTGTTATGTGTGTTTTTGTTGTCAATTTGAAGTGCCTAACTTCAAATTATGGTCAGTGTGTTTTGTTTAGGGAAGAATGGCTGAGGCTGATTTTCTGACCTTGAAGCTCTGTTCAGAATTTTTTTTTCTTGTCCTAGATGACACTGGACTGCAGTAAAGAAGGGGAAGAACTGGATGAAACAAGAGTTATTCAGAAATTTTTTTTTTCTGGGAAATTCTGGGAAAATCGTTGGTGATGAATTTAGGATAAGAAAACTGGATTGTATCTGTTTTGCTGCTACTTTGTTGCTGCTGTATTCATGGCATTTTTTTTCCTACTTCAGACCTCTTTAAATAGCCTAATAACGGCTAGTTTTGTACTGCTTCAATAGAAAAATTAGTTATTGTAAAAGGATATGGTTACTGCCTTACTCGTGAGTTAATTAGCCTGGAAATAATTTTGAGTACCTAAAAGGTGAGCAAAAAAATTGAGTACCTAAAAGGTGAAAAATTGAAGAACTGAGTACCTGATTATACTCTTAACTCCATTCTTTTTTTTTCACACTTTTTATGGTATTTAAGAAAAGTGGGATAACTGCCGTAAAAAAAATAATAATAATAAAATAAAAAGTGGGATTTCATACACTATAAAATGAAGTGTGAGTTTATTAGGAGTATAATTTAGTGAGCCATTAGCTTTATATAAGAAAAATAGTACAACGTTTTCCGAAAATAACTTTCCAATTTTCAATTGGAAATTATTGTGACTTTTCATTTTAGGGAAGTGTTACAAGAGTAAAAAATGGAGAAACTATTTGGCTTAGTTCATTGTAATAAATTTGACAATTTTCTCATTCACTTTCATTACTTTAGTAAAATATGGAGTAGTTGTGTACTTTTATATATATGTCACAGGTTTAGATTTGATCGGTCCCCTAAAGAATTTTTTTCAAGATCCGCCATTGAGTGCGGGTGATGAGAATCGATCCCAATAATCGGGAGGGGAGCTCTAAACATTTGAATTATCCCCAACTCTCAATATCCTTTCTTATATGGATTAATTGAAACAGTTAATTAGATTAAATTGAGTGAAAATAGCAAAATTCTCTATATTTTATTAATAGCAATAACTTGTGTGTTTTCCATGTATGTTTGAGATTAGTTGCTAGGACTAGGGAAGTTAAAGCTACCCTCTCCAAAGCAAGGTTTGGGAGAAATATCACAAATTCCACAACTGCTGTTAATAGCCAAGTCACCAAATTACAAGGTCATTACATATTTTTGGAATTCAAATGTTTTGCATATTTTTGGCACACTAGCATTCCAATGTTGTAGCCTAAAAGGTTTTTCCTACGTTCAAGGGTCTTCAAGAAGAGTGTTGTTTTGTAAGAGCTAGTAAAGCTCATGTTAGTAGTATTTGTTTTTTAGCCTATGTTGAATGTGCTAGCTTGTTGTACTTTTGATGTTTTTTTTTTTTTTTTTTTTTTTGACAAATGCAAAGGAAAACACGAAACTAAGAGTTACAAATAAAATCAGACCCCGAGATTCGACATTGTTTTGCAATGTCATGAGCCCTTTGAACTTGGTATCTTTTGACCTTGACGATCGCACACCTCTGTAAACCTTTCCCCGCATCCTTAATAGCTTTGATCGTCCATGCAATTGAGATGTCTTTACCTATATTACCTTGAAGATTGTCGATGAGTGCAGTCGCATCAGACATAATCAACACTTCCTGTTCCCCTCTATCTAAAATGCTAACGCCTCACAATGCAAGGCTGAAGTTGCAGCTCCATGCTTACCTCCTCCATCAATACCATTTAGGTAAGTTCTGGTAGTGACTACCCAGCCAATACCTGAACTTGTTGTCTTCTTATCCCACGCACCATCAACTTCTATTTTGAAGCTCGCAAATCCTTTGTCATTTGTTCCAAGTTGAACATGGTAGAACCCCCGGAGGGAAACAAGGGTCATCCCAAGTGCCTGTGTCCAGAGGAGTTTCTCTCGCTGTCACATAGGTAAAAGACTCATGCTCCTGTAGAGCCTTGTTAATCAGTGCCATAACTAGACCTGGACTTCTACCCACATTTCTGAAGACCTCTTCATTCCTAGCTTTCCAAAGCCCCCACAAGGTAGCTAAAAACATCGGGATACGAGCACTCCGCTTACCATCCTCGCTATAGAAAAGCATGATATAGTGCTGAATCCAAACTCTCATTGAGTCGGACCCAGGAAACTCAGAGCAAATAGTTAGGGGGTCATTTCCCCAAACGTCCTTTGCTAGACAACAGAGACGGAAAAGATGTTGGCAATCTTCTATTTCCTCTCCACAGAAGTCACACGTCTCATCCATATGAATCCCTCTTCTTGCTAAATTTGTTTTGATTGCCATGGCGTCATGGAATAATCTCCATATGAAAATCTTCCATTTAGGCTGAATATTCAACCTCCACAGGATCTTAACAAATCCTTGATCAATCAGGGTGAGATTAACTCCCTCACCTCCTTGATCTTTCGAGCACCTGTAGTAACCTGTTTTCACCGTATAATTCCCTGAAGGATGATGTTTCCAATAGATGTAATCATCATCTAAACTCGATGGGAGTTCCACGGAAAGGATGGACTTTGCACTATCCCACTCAAAGCATTCCCTAACTTTCCCAGCCTTCCAAGTAGAAGTTTGCGCATCAATGAAGTCACTCACCTTCCATTTCATGGCCTCCCTTAGCATTTGCCCTGAATTAACCGCTGGAACCTCCCCTCAAACCCAAGGCATGCTTATGGCCTTGATCTTCTCACCATTTCCAACCTTCCAAGCAAACCCTTTTTTGAACACTTTAAGTTAACGTATGATGTCGGATGAATTGACCGAAAATAATAGTTCACTCTCTTAATTTAGTTTTGCTAATTTATGATATATATATATAACCTTTAAAACTATCTTCTCATAGGAAACTAATGAAAGACTATATGTAACATTGTAAAGATAAACTATGTATTTCATTTAAGTTGCATTGCTGAAAAATGAAAGTTTAGCATCACAAAATCACTAATTGGAAGGCTCCAACAGTGAGAAAATAAGATTTTGACCTATATAAGAGGGTTATACAAGGGCATGATCTGATCATATTACCCTTCTTTGTGCCTAAAAAAATTATTTACAGCAAATAATATCTCCGAGTCTTCACACCCATGGCATCGGCTCTGATCTAATATCAAAATTGCTATGGTTAATCCCTCCAACCAATTCACCAACCGAAAAGTTCAAGCAAACAATGCTTGAAAAAGGAATCTGTGGGGAGTAGCTCTTCCAATTCTTCTATACATTTTTTCTTTGCCAGCTGAAGGCAATCTAAAAATCAAACCATTTCCAGCAGCTTGACATCTCCAGTGGAGTTTGCTGCTACAAGTGTTGATGATTGACCGCGCCAACAAACAGAAGAGATGAACTGTGCAGCATCTTCTGATTTGTTGCCCGAAAGTGGATCTAAACTGCTGAATTTGTACGACAGAGCTGGCATAGGAAAGGCTTTGTGATAAATGAATACCTGTTCATAGGCACCACAACTAACTTCAGCAAACAAATCTGATCTAGAGCTGAAAAATAGTCAGAGGCTGTTGATAAATTGGATTTTAAGTATAACTAGCCTATTAGCCTATATACATGCTTAACAGAATCAGGCAACTATGGACAAATAGGGCTGATTTTTAAAATATACGAGTACAAGCAAATACTAAAATATAAAAACCATCACTTTAATTTCCTATATAAAATATACATAGCAGTAACATCCATCAATGCCCTCATACTTCGAGTTTTCATACTAATCATCATTCATACGAAGAATATGGTATTGTTATTGCTAGGCTAAAATTTCATAATGAAGCTAATGTGTGCGATTACTCTATAATGACATCATAAAAAGTATAGCAGTAATACATCATCATCTCTTTTAAGTGATCAAGTAAACAAAAGGCTTCAATTGATAGGTCATTAGGTTGGAACATCCACAAAGAGGAAACATATGGGTTAAAGGCAACTTTTAAGAGAAATGGCATGACTATATTCAGATTCATATAGGAAGAAAAGGGCTTAAGCTGCAAAATATATAGCAATAGTAGGAACATATTTAAAAAATTCTTCAATTTTAACTATTATTGACATCAATCACTTTTTTCATGGCTACTTTCAATTTTCATATTAAAATCTACTACTAGTTTCACGGTAACTCTATACAATGGTCAATGGTATGAGATTTGTAGAGTAACAATTTCCATATTTCACTGAATCAGGAGCAACCTTTTTTTTTTTTTTTTTTTTGAGGAAAAATCAGGAGCAACTTAATAGTTAATAAATGAAGACAACCTATCCAATTGATCTTACCTCATTTGTTTCGGAACCTGTGGCAATGTAACCATCTGATACAGATAAACCTACGAAGTTCTGAAATAAAAAAAAAGTATTAGCAACAACAAGCAATCATTTAACCCATAGGTGGACAGAAATTTCAGTAACAAGTCAAAGTATGCACAATTACAACTACTGAATTGATTTTATTTTAAGTTTATTTTTGATGTAGGGTGAGGTTGATCTACTAAAATGTTCAACTCCATAGTTGAAGGGTAAGGCAGCAAATATTTCAAGCCCTTCCTTTATTGCCTTATCACGGACTACCTGCATACGAAGGCTTTGGAGAAAACGGTAATGTATGAATGTGTTATAGTAACCTTCTACTTCTTTATATTTCATGAAGCTGCATCCCCTTACAGAAATTTTGCAATAATGCTCATTGAAAACATTTGCTTAACCATATCGTTAGGTAGGAGAGGAGCATAGATTCATACATTGGTGAGCATAAAATGAACACTTTATCACATTTAAAAAAAAATGCAGCTAATTATACTAAGCTACTAGCACCGACAGAGCTATCAGATTGAACATCCAGCAACTAAATAAGAGCAACCATAATAGATCAGATCAGGTCAATGCATACCTTCATATTTGTGTGACCAGTAAATGACTGAAGAGGGCCCTCAACAACACGAGATGCACACAGTGATAAATCCCAAAGCTTCAGAGTGTTATCTGTTGATGCAGATACTAGAGTGTTGGAATCCACAAACTTGATGTAGCTTACAGTTTTGTTGTGCCCAATCAATGTGCATAATGGTACTCTAGGACTCCGCAGATCATAGTAGTATATTTTGTGGTCTGCTGAACCAAAAGCAAGAGAACGACCTGAATCCATGGGAAACTGAACGCAGCAGACATTGGCTTTGGTTTTGATGGTACCGATGCTTGCTTCCTGCAGCAACAACCCATGTGAGAGAAACAAATCATCACAACCCCAGAACATTGACCTTGTAGCAACAGTAATTAGATAACAACAGTACGTTTATTGTCAAAGCTGACAGCCACCAAATGCAGTAATAGAATTGCCTGATTGATACTCCAGAGTTTGACTGAACCGTCATCGCTTCCACTTGCCAACAGTGTTGGATCTGCTGACGAAAAATCAACAGACCAGACTCTCCTTTCATGCTCTTTAAGTTCCACAAATACTTGGCTTCTTGCAGCATCCCATACCTACAAATGTCACAAAGAAATGAGGATGAAACTTTTAGAGATCAACATAACGCTCAAAGAGAGTCAACCCACCTGCACTACGCCTTCAAAATTACTTGATGCAATCTGGCTTTTGATATAGCTATTCCAACAAATGCTGCTAAGCTTTGAGCGACAGGCCATTTCAGTGACAGGATAATGAATATCATGATTCCCATTGAGGATGGCATCACACTCAAATACTTTGATCTTCTTATTTACACCAGCAGTTGCAAAAAATTCTCCATCACGATCAAAACCGACAGAGCATACCAGATTTGAAGAGTTCAGAAGATCCCCTTGCTTCAAGTCTGCTTTTACATTCAATTTAGTAAACGACAGATACTTACATAAACCTTCAAGGAAGGGGCTAATCCACCCACTTTCTCCATTATTACTCCTTTGCTCTTTAGCTAATGAAACGCTAGAACTTTTTTCAGTTAAAACTACAGACCCTCTACTATTGCTGCTAAGCTGAGAATGGCCACCCACTGGCTTCCCTGACAGCCTGGCTGGCCTGTGCCTTGTTGAAAGGTAGGCTGACTCAAGTTTCTTGAAGTTTTTTATCAATCGCGAGTTCTTTGACAGCAAATTTTCCTGATTAGGACTTTCACTTTCAACAGAACTAAACTTCACGGCATCATGTACCTGAACTTCTTGCCTGTTATGATCTGTTGCATCATGTTCAACAGAATTAATTGGACTTAGATCTGGTGCTGACTGCCGAATCCTCTCCGAGCCTGAGAGAGTGCCTCCTTTCTTCTTAAGAGCTTTTTGTTTATTTACTATTTCCTCAATATCAGAAGATAAAAAGGAAACGGTATTCTGCAACTTACTGGCAGCATCCTGTTTGGCCTGTCTCATACGGACAAGGAACTCAAGCAACAATTCATGTTCCTCTATCTTTTCCCTGAGTTCTATTGCAGCTTCACGCTCATTTAAATCATCTCTAGGTTCATTAAAAAACTCACTTTGCAGCAGATCACTGACATTGGCAAAGAGAGAAGATTGATCAAAATAATTTACAAGTCCTGAAGGACCAAAGTTCGTAATTAGAAACTATTGTTCACCAAACTAAAAGTGTGATCAAACGGCAAATGGAACTTTTACTTGAGATTGGTAGGAGCATTCAAATTTCAATATTAATACCTCATTTTAATTAGTTTTAATAGTTTCAGTTTAGAGAAACTTTGGTAAATTAAAACACGCAGGCTAATACTATGCATAAAAGAAAGCCAAAAAAAAAGTATTGGTTAATGTCCAATCTACTACAATACTAACAATAAACAATTTCCATCCCCCAGAATGTAAGGAACACATAAATCAACAGACATACAAACCAAATTAAACTAATGTGAAGAATAATTAGTAGCATTTACCCCATTTTTGGTCGACTAGAAGGGTCTGGATGCAACAACCATAAGCAGAATGAAGCTTCTTTAGGCCATTTCAGCAAAAGTTGTGGGGGAAGAACTCGATGTCGTAAACTAGACATTGTTCCACTTTTTTCTTCAATGGAGCTAAACGTGCAAAATAACTGTTTCATCAGATACTTTCAACATTAGCTACCTTTCCTTGTCTGATTTCTACTATACTTACTCCATCCAGAAATAATTGTCAAATACACTATTTCATGATTCCCGAAAAATGTTGTTGCCTTACCTCAAACATTAATGGTTGATCTTAAAAATCTATCACCTTATCTTGACTAGTAATAGTTCATTTTTGGACTTCCCACTTTCTTGAATTGAGTGATGATTAGAGTGTGGTTACAACCCAATGGGCCTTTTCAAAAAATCATGCCATATGCTCACACTTATGAAAGATTGGAGTAATGTGACAAATATTTCTGGATGGAGTATAATTTACATTTTTGCAGGCAAGAGGTAGATGGGAATAAAAACAAAAACAAAATTTCCAAGGTAAAGATAATTTAGCATCAAACGCCTAAGCCAACCAAGATTCTTAAGAATGCATAGACAATATCATGTTTACGAACCTCAAATAGAAGAACACCTAAGCGATAGATATCTGAAGCACAGGAACATGGGGCACCAGCAATCTCCTCTGGGCTAGTATACCAACCTGACTCCATCAGCAAAAGTTCTTTCATTGGGAAAGACCGCTTTTCTCCAGCCTTTCTACAGCCTTTTGCGTCCTTAGTTTCACACCAACCTTTCTCTTCTACAGAAGATGGATTTGTTGCCTGGATTGTGTGAGACTTAGAGCCAATGGTTTCTGATATCAGTTGTGATTCCCTATGGCTTGACCCACTTCTCTGCTCATTCAGTTCATCATTACACAAGGATGAACATTGCTGTTTACTCTCTGTATCTTGGCCATCCAACCCATCCTCCAAGGAATCTGATCCTGAATCTGAACAAGAAGCAGACTCAATGAAGGATACATGGTTGAAGGAAGACATTATGAAACAGGAAGGCCGTACATTATTAATCACAATTCCCTGAGAATGTGCCGTGCTAACTATCTCAACAATCTGCCTAAATATATGCAAAGACTCAATCACATCAATGCTACGTTCTGGATTGTCCAGCCACCGCCTCAAGCTGACATCACCCCATTCAATGCTGTGAACTAAAGGATCCATAGCTACTTCATCCTCTGATACACCAGACGCTCCAAGGCGGTTCCTGAGATAGTCACTAGGAGCCTGCCCGAAAGAATCTCTTACCTTCCGCCCACTGCCAAGTACTGAGTTACGTGATGCATCAGTAGATAAGCTACGTCTACTTTCATGGAGTAGCCTCAAATTTCTTTCTGAAGATGCAGAAGTATCCAATCCTCTAGAACTAGCAGATTTCCGCCAACCATTATCAGATGAACCGTCCATATTCATCCAGATATCACCTCACCAAAGCTCATATACATTCAGTGAAAGAAAATTCTCCCAAGGTATATTGCTCATATTGCCATCTACCCGGAATAAAAAACCACAAATAGGAAATCTTCAGAGTATATCTTCCTATATCTATATACAACTCTCCTTTGAACCTCCATCATCTTTTTATATTAAACGTCATGAAAATTTGTGAAAGCAACCAATTTGAGTTATATATGTAATCCAACTTAAGACTGACACAGTCTCTTAACAAGAAATTTAAGATCTAAAGCAATATATCCAAACCACAAGTATTTACTCGATCTCCTTCACTCCTTCAATTCATCCAAAGAATATAATTGATCCTCACGAATATAATTTATCATCCAAAGAATATGATCGATCCTCACAAATATAATCCCTTCTTCAAAATCTCCTTAACAAAAGAAGAAATTCACATGTCAGCAACTATGTAGAGCTAAACTCAACCAAAATAATATGACGAGCAACCTTCAGTCATATAATTACATGAAAAAACAGAAATTCATAATATTGTAGATCATTTCTCATAAACATGCCACGGTTGTTCATGAAAGGAAACATCAAGGCTTGCCAAAGTGAAGAATTAGAGGCAACCCTTTTAGCAAACGCTAATCAGTAGTTACTGAAATTAAAACATTTAACAATTTTTTGGCAATCAAAACCTCCATGACTTTATCACTAGAAAGGTAAAGTGGTAACCCTAGAGTAGTAGGGGAGACCACACTATAGATCATACAATATGATCCATGCTTTTAAATCTATTTCATAAAGTTTACCCATATACAAATAAGAGCTAACTTCTGTACAAATTTGTCATTAACGCTTGAATTTTATTCAGCCCGGCACCTCATATCATACACGAGTATGTATCCAAGTGTCGGACATGGCTAATATATTCAATATTTTTTTATCCAAAATAGTGCTAACAAGTGTCAATACCCATGTCCGAGTGCCTACTAAGATCTAGCACGGGTAATTGAGGTAAAATGAAGAGTCCAGTTAACAAAGCTACACCACATTGGTGCACTATTGAAATGTGAAAGTACAACTAACAATTACAAATCTTAGTACAACAGAAACTGACAATTCACAGAATTACCCACAAAACCAAACTCACACAATTATAGAAACCTTTGATCTTCCTAAAAAAACAACTCAATTATAGCACAAATCATAAACATACAAATATCATACACCAATCAGTAAAAAAGCAAAAACCCAGAAAAACCCAACAACAATATATTAAAATACACATAAAACTCTAATCATACAGCCATTTAAGTTCCCATTTCATCAGTTTCATCTCAATTTCACATATATTGTAAGGGGAGGAGAGAGAAAGAGAGAAACTAACCAACATGAAGTTGAAGAAGAACAGATGAAATGAAAAGAGGGATCAACCTAAAAACCCAAAACAAAAAACAGAAAAAGTTTTTAGTGAAGATGAACAGAGCTGAAGAAACAGCAAAGCACCACAACCTCATAAATTCCAAGCCTTTTTTCTTCAGAAAATCAGAAATAAAAGGTGCCAAACAAAATCCCTCCAAATAAAACGTGGACCATATAATTTCCACACCACCATATAAAACAAATGTTTATTTAAATTTTAATATAATGAGTTAATGACCAATACAGTAGAAGATTAATTATTGTATACGGAATTGTTTCTTGTACAGTTTTAGGGATATGGGCTAGATTTCTTGATTGGTCAGGTATTGTTTGGTTTAATTCATGAGGGTTGAATGAAAGCCGATGGTTGCGGATGCAGTTTAAAGGCATAACAAGCAAATATATATATATATATGTGGTAATTCTGTAAATAATAAAAATTGAAAATACTACTTAGAAGAAGAAAAAAAAAAAAAAAAAGAGGAGGGGGAGGATTTACTTGATTTTTTCACCTCTATAAAATAAATAAATGTTATTGTACTATACGGAGTATATCATTAGATTCATTATAATGTCTAGTTTCATAATATAATTTTGTATAACTTTTACTAATTAACAATTAAAGATATTAATGGTCAAAGTGTTGGTCAAATTGATGCTAATAAAAGAAAACAGAGGGAGTATTGAAAAACATTTTCAGTAGTACTTTCATGCTCTCACTATTACTGAAATGTTGAGCCCATATACAACCTACATGTGAGCGTTTCTTATCCCACACTAAAAAGATTAAGGGCCTGTTTACATATGCTGAACTGAGTTGAGCTGAACTGAATATAGCTGAAATGAATATTTTATAAGAGAAAGAAATTAGGAGCTGAACTGAACTGAAATGAAACTGAAGTGAACAGGCCCTAAAGGAGGAGTGTAATGGTAATGAAATCCCACGTTGAAAGAATTCAACAGTTACCACCACTATATAATACTAAGGGGCTACTCCCTTCATTGCCATATATATGGTTTTGAGGTGGAATCTCCTTGGTCTTGTAAAGTGGTAGACTTGCACTCTCTCGTGACGGGTGCGGCCTGGATCCGTAATTGAATTGACATGAACATGTTAGTAGTACTACTAAAATTAGTTGTGCATAACTGTTATGGGGGCGTGCTTTTTATCCGAACTTGTTTAATACGAGTATTTTATATAAGGATCTTGCAAACGAGCGTTATGCACGGTATTATCATTAATCAATAATTAATAACATAATACTAAAACAAATATCTGAGTTGTTTTTCCCTTTTTTACAAAAATCTTTTGTTTATGAAATATTTGTATAATACATCTTTAATAATATTTTATTTCTAATCTTATATGTAACATTTATAAGAAGACCTTGTTCACTTCACTTTAAAAAACATAATATTCAGTCAAAATAATTTCAATTCAGTAATTCAGCAAAAACAAGTTCAGTTCAGTAAAAATAAGTTCATTTCAATTAAAATTATTCAGTTTAGTAAAAATCAGTAACTTTAAAGAAAAAATATACTACAAAATCAGTAAAAAAATAAAATAAAATAATAGTAATTCCAATTCAGCAAAAATAATTTCAGTTCAGTGAAAATATTTTCAGTTCAGTAATAATAATTTCAGTTCAGCAAAAATAAGGTGAAATGAATGGGGACTAATTATATTTCGTGTTCTATTTACTTAAAATAAATACAGCAGATTTTGAGAGCTTTGAATTAAGGGAGAATAATCTATAATTTTGAAGGTTGAAATATGGTTGGATAGTATAAAATGACGGATCCAAAAATACAATATTAACATTCATATTACCGTTAAATAGTTGTACAATAGTGGGGTTCAATGCGGAAAAAACATTTCTATTCATGGTGTTGATTTGAAATCTTATCAAATAATAATAATTGAGTTAGTTTTCTGTTAAATTTTTCTGAAATAATATTTATTTCCATAAATAAATCTATCAATTTTCACTAAACCAATTAATGCTTACATCAATAATTTTTGACATCACATCGATCATTTTCGACATATCATGTCAAGCTATTAAAATAAATTCTCACCAATATAATATATAATATCAGGCTATCAACTTTAAATATATATATATATATATATATATATATATATATATATATATATATATATATATATATATATGTATTTTGAACTAACCTTAATTAATTCATTAATAAAAAGTCATATGACATCTACATTGTATAGTATTATTGGGAATAAGATGCATTATTAGTGTAATATAATGTACTTCTTCCGTTCTTTTTTTATTGCACCATAGGAGGTTGGCACAAGTTTTTTAGTAGTGGAAAAAAGGATGAGAGAGAAAGGTAAAATATAAGATTGTCCATGTGATGGTATACATAAACTAAATAATCATGTGTTGAAAAGTAAGGGTATATTTGGTATTTGTAGTGTGAACACAAGTATTTCTTTTCCAAAAATAGAAATGGTGCAATATTTGTGATACTTCCTTAAAAGGCAAGTGGTGCAATATTAAAAAAACGGAAGAAGTATACTATTTTAAGAAAATTTCAACACAACTAATAAAAAAAAAAACATATATTTATTTTCTCAATTGTAGTTTTAATTATTTTCGCCTTATTATTTCATATTTCTTTCTTTTTTTTTCTTTTACGGATGTTATTTCATATTTCTTATATGCATTGCATTTGTTTATTCCATATGAGTTGCTTCATTTTTATATTATATCATAAATTAATAATGGGAAAAAAATTATTACTACTGTGTATCGCACGAATACTAATCTAATTACCTAACTAATTAGTGGATCTCGCTAATGAACCGTCCCTAGGTGGTTGGATTACCCTTTAAAATATTTCTTAAAATTATATTAATTTGAGAATACAGTCAAAATCAGCGTCGGTTGGTGTAATTAAATTTTATTACTTTTTTTTATTGTTATCTTATCCAACACCCTAAGGCGTTCGTTAGCTCATATCTTAGTATATTACCTAAAATAGTAATATATTAAGTTTGGAGTACATGTCAAAATCATGGGTCAATCAGTGTAATTAATATTTATTTTACTTTAATATTACTACTTTGAATTCCTGGGGCGCTCGTTACCTTTTACATTAAAACTAGTTTTAAGCCCGGGCGATGCCTCGGGTCATTTTTTGTATATAAAAAATTATAATAAATTAAAGTGAAATCTTTTGGTGGTTTTATAATCTAAAAAAAATCATATTTTTTTTTAAATATTATTGAACTTTATCAATTTTCATTATGAAATACTTCCTCCGTTCTTTATTACTTGACCCGCTTTGACTTTTACACTATTCACCACCCCTCCTTTGACCGTATTTTGCAAATGATATGTAAGAAAAAATATATTCATGTATGATCTTTTTGGATTTGTCTCAATAAGTACTATCATAATTGTTTCGGGGTTTTCTGATGTCCTGCGGGAGATTTACAATTCCGAGACTGGAACCGGACGCCTGTACCTGCAAAATAACGGAGACTCCTGAGAGCTCCGCCTCCAACGGTCAAGTTAGTACCTGATTAAGGAGTAATTAATACGGAAATTAAAGTAATAAGACCTCTCTAGGTGAGAGTGTTTAATGTTGGTAATCTGCTTTGTTAGCGAGATTAGCCGGTTATTAGTGTTCCGTAATGTTTCTGTTCTTCTCTGTTCTTCAGGTGAGATTAATTGCTTGATCAATTGCCTCTCAATTGCTTCATCCCTTTTAATGAGGATTAATTAAGTATTTATAGTCTTGAGAAGCGTGCCACTCTCTAGGTTTAGGGTAAACCTAGGGCTGACCGGGCCTCTAGACAGGATTGGGCCTTGTTGGCCGGTTTTCCCATTTGGCATGGGTGGACACGTGGCGTGCCTCGATTGGTCCGTAGAAGACGTATATGTGATTGACACGTGGCAGGGTCCTATTGGCCTTCGTGAAGGACACGTGGCGGAACCTGGTTGGTCCACTTGTCAGACGGTGATTGGTGGATAAAAATCCCCTAATCATTTGCCCCTCACAGGTGGCACGTGACTGGTCACGTGTCGCCTGTGACAGGTGTCGCACGGTGACAGGCGACGGCCTGCTACAGGTGTCACCTTGCAAACGGCCGAGAGATTTTCCCGCCTCAATTTTGAATTTGGAAGCGACCCTTCGCCTTCTCACTTTGCCTATATAAGGAAGTGCTGACTTCGGTCATTTTCACATTTGAGAACTTTGCGAGAACATTCGGACCCCTGAACTTGCTCTGACATTTCGGACCTTTTCTGCCTACCGCCTGTTCTGACAAGCCGACTGCACCGGATTTCCAGAACTTCATCAACCGTCACTCGTTCAGGTAACTCAGTTCTCTTACTCTTAATTTTCTTTTTATTTTTTGAAATGGCACCACGGAAGCACACGACACGACCTAAGTTAGTGATCAGCCGGTCACCGGGGACGGCTGAATCTAGGACTAGGAGTGCCGCCTGCCCTTTTCTGGACCCATCTTTGCCCTTTATACAAAGTCCGACTGTATCTGTGTCTATGCAGAACGTGATGGCCAGAACAAAAAAGACTGCTATGATATCAAACTCAGACGGCTCCTCCTAAAGGGTGCTCATTAGTGAAACATCTGACCAGGCGCCAGATGTAGAATTGAAACGAGGCGGCTGCCAAGCCGACAGTTCTGAGAGAGGGGCCAAGGTGGTCCCTTCCCATCTTACCGTTGATATGTCTAATTTTCCTCCTGCTCCTTCTAAGGGAGAGGAGGCGGGCCCCTCTGGGAGAGGGGAGGAGTCGTCCTCTTCGGACTCGTCAGAGGACGAGTCCGAGTCCAGCTCTTCTGGCCACAGTTCTCCAGGCTCAGAAGAAAGACATAGCCGCCTACAAGAGGCGAGACTTTCTCATGCAGTTGAGAAGGGGGACAATTGGGCGGAGCCGTCCGCCTCTTACAGAGAGGAAAACGCCCCCTACTACTGCATGGTACCCCGGGGCCGGATCGCAACCATGCAAGACAAAGTGGAGAGCTTTATTGCTAACCACAGAATGGGCCCGGAATTTTTACTGTTCGTGCCGGATCCAGAAGACACTGTCGTCTGGCCGGCTGGTACCAGCTATGATGACGGCTGCTTTGGCTGCTATGTGGCGGCTATCAAAGCTGGACTGCGCTTCCCATTACATCCGGCTGTTCAGCGGATTTTAGATGGGTATGATTTGGGGTTATGGCAGTTAGCCCCCAACTCTTGGGTAAACGTACTCGGCTATGTGGCCGGGTGCGAAATGTACGGGGTGGAGCCAAGCTTTGAGGCTTTCGCCCACATGAACTATCTCAGCCGGACCCCTAAGTCGGGAGGTACCGGCTGGTATCAATTAACAAGCCATAGGGGTTACCTCATGACGAGAGGTAAGG